CCAATGCAAAACGGTCAGCCCTGAAATCATATGTGCAAACGCCATGTTTGTATCAACCAGACACAGGGAGGGATACGATAATCAAAATGAGGTCATCCATTTCAGAAGGAGTGAGGTGTGATATGGGAGAGGTCAGAGGAGAAACAAAAAAAAAGACAGAAATGATGCTATTAGGTGTTCCGATCTGTTGACCCATCTCTCCCATCCTGCAAATTCCCACAGAGCGCTGCAAAGGAGGAGCTTCCCAAAGGAGGGTACTGGGTCTCAGTCCTCATTGGAGCATGACTCCAGCCTGCCTCACTGGGATCAAGCAGTGCTCTGCACCCTCAACTGGAAGACTCTATCCTTGCAGTCAGCGCACCTGCTGCCCTTAAAGTAGCAAGGGCCCCAAAGCAACTTGACCTAGACGTAGGAAGGAGCTGTGGAAGAGGAGAAAGGCAGGAGACAGAATCAGATGGCTGGAGTGGATGGCTACCAGGTACACTGAGAGACATGAATTACCATTTCCAGGCAGCCGGGGGAGCCACTCTCAATGGTTAGTTTACCAAGATCTCTTATTTACAGTGAAGAGCCCAGCTCGCCTCTCACTGGGCAGCCACGGGTATTGCTTGGTGCTGTGTGTCAGACATTCCAATCTCAGGTTTCTGCTCTTCATACCATACCTCCAAGTTTGTATCATAACTCAGTTTTGTCGTGACCAGATATCTTTGTTCAACCCTGCACTATGTATCAGGTGACATTGCAAGTTTACCAATCACAGTCATGAGTTTCTCCAGTGGGTTTCTTTCTTAGAACAGTTTTATAAAGTCACAGATAGAAGGAATTCTTTTAAAGTCCTCTAGGAAGTGTCAGCCAGGGTAATGGTAGACCTGAAACAATTTTATAAAACAGTAATCCAAAGCAATATCCACTGGGAAGTCAATATGCAGATGGAGCGCAATAAAATAATAGGGAAATTGCCTTCTGTTTATGTGCTTTCACATCCTTCTGATTTTCGTTGATGGGCAAGTAAGTAGGCTTTGAACTTTCTAGACATTAGTCTTTTGCTGGTTTTAAACACTGTAAATATATTATTCTGTCCTTAATCTCTGAACTAGGTCCTCCTTGGTTTAGGTCTCTCTGTTTGACATTGGAAAGTCAGCACGATATCTATCTTTATGACCCAACCGTCTCTAATGTCAGTATCTATCCTTATGATCTGAGCATTTCTGATGTCGGGAAGGAAGTCTACTCAAGAGCCACAGGTATTCTGCTTTCTCTGTAGGAGCTCGATTTTATCTGCCATATCAAATTCTCTGTGCTTCAACTTCACCTATGGTGGGAGGTAAGGACGGCTCAGCTGACTGCAAGAAACAATCAGCTCAGCAAAAACAGCCTGCACCCTGGGTTTGGTGATCTTTCTGGCAGGGGACAGGCGCTGCTCTGAGCTCTGTGGTTGGTGCTGCCTCTGTGGCAATTGATGTGTGATATAGACGCTGGTACAGACAAGAGACAGGGAAACAAACAAGAGATGGGTTTGTTTCTCCAGTCATGGAAATATTAAGCTTTTACAAATAGATTTTGTTTATTAGAGCAGATATAGGTTCAAAGTGAGATTGAGCAGAAAGCACAGAGGATTCCCATAGGCCCTCTGCCTCCCCCACAACCCACATCCCACATTGGGGTCACCGACAGTCTGGAGATCAGATCACAGAATATGCTCTCACTGGGCAGCAGATCTGCTGGCGCCCTGACTTTGAACATTCCAGCTCCCCAAACTGTGGAAAATAACTGCTTATTGTTTGGTTTAAGCTACTGGAGCTACACTCCTGTGTCATAGCAGCCAGAACTGCCTGATAACGCTTGTGTACCATCTACCAATCTACTAATCCCCCCATCTCCTGTAACCCCTAGGCACGATGGATTTTCTTTCTACTATCTCTGTTTTCCCCTTTTCTAGAATGCCATATGGTTGGAATCCAACAGTGTGTAGCATTTTCAGGCTGACTTTGTTCACTTCATGATACGGGCTTAAACTTCTTTCATGTCTTCTCATTGCCAGCTAACTCACTACTTCTTGGGACTGAATAGCATTCTACTGGTTGGATATACCACTGGGTATTGATCCATTCTACTGGTTGGATATACCACCGGGTATTGATCCATTCTACTGGATGGATATACCACAGGGTATTGATCCATTCTATTGGATGGACATACCACCGGGTATTGATCCATTCTACTGGATGGATATATCACAGGGTATTGATCCATTCACCTCTTCAAAGTATCTTGGTTGCTTGCACGTGTTGTAAATTTTGAAGAGAGTTGCTAAAATCATCTGTTAGCGTTGTTTTCCTTTGTTGCTTAAAGCGAACATGCTTCCAACTCCTTTAGCTAAACACCGAAAAGCACTAGTGTTAGCTGCTAGACTGCATGCCACGGAAATACAGTTTTGTAGGAAACTGCCCTTATTCCAAATGGACTATAACATTTTGAATTCTCCCCAACAATAAACAAGATTGTCACTTCCCATCCTCACCAAGGTTTGGATTTGAAGTGCTTTGACTTTTGACGTATTGTAAAGGCGGGCAGGAGATGACTTCATCTGCAGTTCCCCAGTGTCATGTGACGGTGACCCTCTGTGACACATTTGTTTGCCACCTGATGCCGTCTTTAGTAAGGCATTTTTCAAGTTGTTATATCCACTTTAAATGGGGAGTCTGCTTTCTTATTGTCGAATTCTGAGGTCTTTGTATATTATATTGGTGTATATCATTAGCTCTGGCTTTTTGCAAACATTTTCTCCTACTCATCTCTTTCCCCTGTTCCAGAGCATATGCTCTGTGAGTCTGAGGCCAGGCTGGTTACAGATCAAGTTTCAGGCTGGTTGGACTAACTACGTAGTTAGAGTTTGTCTCAAAAATAAAATAAAAAAAAAGAAGAAACAAAGAAAAATGTGAAACTAACTATTCTCCCTTGTGTGAAATTGAGCCATTGACTTAGTTCGTCTTCTGTTACTATAACAGGAATGCCTGACACTAGGGTAATTTATAGAGTTTCATGTGGTTCAAGGTACAAAGTCCAGATGCATGCTATCAGCATCTGTTTGGTTTCTAGTGAGTACTCTGCGCTGCTTCAGCCTGTGAGAAGTAGAAGGGGCAGGAGGGACATGCACAAAGGAAAAGGAACGGAGCGCAAAGGTTCAGGATGACTGACTATTTCCATGAGAAACACATCATAAAGACTCTATCCCCATGGACCAAATGCCTCCCACTAGGCCCAGGCTCCCAAGGCATGGGATGACTGCCCACACGCCCCTCATCTTCCACGTGGTGGAGTGGGTGAGAGGAAAATGCCCTCCTCCTTCTCTTGCCCCTGCCAGCTGTGGTGGGCAAGGGAGCTGACCCTCTCCTTTCCTAGCTGCAGCACTAGAGAAAGCGGGCCCTACATCTTGCCTGGACAACACAGCAGAGCTGACCCTATTGACAGGAGCACAGGGGAATTGGCCTGAGAACACGAGTGTCAGAGATCCAGCCCCTCCTCTCATCCGCTGGATGGGGCGGGGGGGGGGGGGGGGGGGCGGACCGTGAGGTCACAGGCAAGGGAGCTGACCCTCTCCTTTCCTAGCTGCAGCACTAGAGAAAGCGGGCCCTACATCTTGCCTGGACAACACAGCAGAGCTGACCCTATTGACAGGAGCACAGGGGAATTGGCCTGAGAACACGAGTGTCAGAGATCCAGCCCCTCCTCTCATCCGCTGGATGGGGCGGGGGGGGGGGGGGGGGGG